GACCAAAGTACTTAAATATCTATTTAAAGTAATTAAACAGATAAAAAAATTAAATTCATTTCTTATTAATAAACAACCTAAATTTAATGTTTTATAGAATTTTCTAATGATTTTATCTAATTATGATTAAAGCTTTAAATAAATTAAGTAGACTTATAAATCAAATAAGTTAATTTGAATTCAAGTCAAATTGAATCAAAAATTTCTGACTTATTTGATTTGAGTTATATCATTAATTAAGTTGAATTAATAAATTAACTTGCTTATTTTAATTCATGTCAATTTATAAGTCAATATTATAATAAAGTTATTTTTAAAATTTTAAAAGTCAATTTTTGTATTATAACTAATTTTCAAATTTATAATATTTCAGATTTAAATTTAATTATAATAAATCTATAAGTTTACAAATTTATAAATTTTTAATCAATAATTTTTTATTGAAAATTTATATAAATATATAAAAATAAAATATTAATAAAATCCAATTTTTTATAATCTCTGCTTCTTTTTTATTGCTTTTACAATTTTTTTAGCTAAAGTTATAATACTAGTATATTAAATACTACTTTGTTTAATTAAATTTAGCTGTATTATGCATAGTTTATATTTACTAATACTATATAGAATTTGATGTTATTTTATAGCTAATTTCATAATTTATAGACTATCAATAATTTTTTAGTCACATTTAATCATAATATTTTCTAGTAATTTTATTATAAAATATTTTCAATCATATTCAGTCACAATTTATTAGTAGTTGATGAATTATGAAATTAGCTATAATAGTAACATTATATTATAGATAAATGAAATATCCTTTCATAATTAAACTAAATTTCAAAACAAATTTTTGATATCTTATAGCTTTATAGTTTTCTGTATAAAAAAATTATATAAAATCCTAAAAATAGATTTATATAAAAACATAAATGCATTAATTTTATAATACAAAAGAAATAAAAATCTCATTTTGAGTATAAATAATTTGAAAAAAATGTTAAAACTTATCTATATATATACAATTTTTAATATATTTGCCATCTTAATATAAAGATTAAAATTATTTCAAAAATTAAACTCAATATTGATTTTCAGTTTAAAAACAAAAAATTAGAAAAAATAATATAAAACTGTTTTATATCTTTATAAAAATATTTTTTAAGTAATAATATTTATTTATTAGAAAATAAAAGCTAAATGATTTTAAAAACAAATTAATCAAAAATAACTATTCATAAGAAATAGCTATTATTTATTCAAATTGCTTCACTTTGTTAACTATTTTAAGGATTTTGTATATAAAATAAATACTTTAAACTTCAAAATCCTAAATCACTATTATATATCATATAGAATTTCTAATAATTGTTATCAAAATTTATATTTTACTCATTGCTAATATTATTTAATAGAAAATATAAATTACTTTATCTATTAAATTTATTTGGCCAAATAATCAGAATAATGAATCAATTTTAAGTCATTATTATTAAACAATTTTGTTAAGTTTAACTGATTCTTATATTTAAAGAAGTCATAAGTTTTACTAAAAACAGCAAAATTAAACTAAATTTAATTATCTTTTATGCAATTGGTTCCTAAAATATTTGTTAGATAATTTATCGATTAATTATATAACGTTATCATTATCATTTTTAATTTTATTATCAACAGTCTTTTCTTCTATTTTATCTAATTTATTCTTATTTACTAATACAATATGTTCATCAATACATATTATTAAGATTAACAATTAGATCACAATTGATATTTTTTTAATTTATAATAATTGAATAGTTAAATTAATAATTTTTCTATGAAGATATATGTATCTATTTACCTTGTTTTTATAATTATTTTTTTTAATTAAGTGTAATAAAAATATTTAAACTTCATGAGATATAAAACTTAAATATTTAATTTTATATTTACCTAAAATTAGAAACAATTCTATCAAAATTATTATTTTAAAAATAATAAAAAATAATAAATTTCTAATTCAAATTTCTAATTTAATCTTATTAAATTAATAAAATCAATAAAATTAATAATAAAAATTATAGGATTTTAAATTGATTATTATTTATTTATATTATAATTTAAAAAGTCGTATCTTATTATTTGAATTAATTGATGCTTATGGAATAACTAATGAATGGATAATGTTTCACTATAAAGTTTGTAATAAAATTTATATAAAGTACAATTTGCAACATTTGCAATATCTAGGATATTTTTTACTTAGTGAATCTCATATTATCCAAATCTATTTATTAAAATCACGTGATAATCAATCACTAATGCTACACCACAAGGTGAGGGTGGCGCCTGTGACAAATAAAAATAGACAAATAGGATTTCACACCCTTAAAAAACAGTTACCAGATTAAATAGTAAAAAATGAAACATGGTGGGCATGACACAATATGACAGATTTATATATAAGTTCACATATGGTGATGCTGGGGAAAATCCAGAACTTGCTAAACTCAATGGGTCATGGACTAGCAAAATGCCCCTCCGAGCTTTTCGTCGAATTTTTTTTTTATATTTTATATAAGCTGTATATGCTTAGCTATATGATAATCGAAATATTCATAGAAATTGCTTTTTTCAAAAAGGATCGACAATCTAAAATTCGAATATTATGTTAAAATTTGTATCACATTACTCATTAATTATACATATTGCATTTTGTTCTAAAAATAAACTGTAAACAATGAAAACAAAAATCCTGATTTCTCAAAAAAGTAATAAATTTACCGGAGGGGCATTTTGCTAGTCCATGACCCAAATATAGTTTGTCCTAGTGCTACTTGCTATCTTATCTTGAAAGGAATATTTTAAAAAACGGAGTTCGGAGCAATCACATTCACATTCCTACTATCTTTGACGTTCAACACGATATATCGAAAAGATAGCTATTTTGCCCAATTGTTTAAAACATGCAATATAAAGGGCTATTACTAACCACAAAAATAAAATAATGATAATCATTGTCTTTTTAGATTCATTGTTTGGTAGTTTCCCCCCCCCCCCATTATATTGCAAAGGTACCATTTATAAACCGTTTGAGAATAGCTATCTTTTGACAATGCACGTTCTGAAAGCCATAAAATTAATTTCTTTATTCATAATAAAAGCGAGAAAATCTGATTTATCTTTATAACAATATTTATACGCCGAATATATTGTTTCCTTGTGCAACCTGTAAAAAAATTTTTAATAACTGCATTTTCATAAGTTGGAAACACTGTAGATCAAATTGCATATAGTCAATATGAAAATTAAAGTTGTCTTTTTTTTTGAAATATACATACTCATAATCGAAAATAACGTTTATAAAATAATTGCGCCAATAATAAAGCCAATAAAATCAATAGCATGTAAGTTTTCATTATCATTCACATACTTCTATAAAAAATTCGGTAAATCAGAATGACGAAATGACAACTATACAATCAAAACTCGATATAGATATAACAATCACTTGTTTTTAAACGATTTTTTTTAAAATTTTTTTTGTTCCATATTATAACATATAAAAAATCATTATATCAAATTTATAAAACGAAATTTTTACAAAAATATTTAGTTCTGACTGTAAATGACAATATTGCAGCTCGGTACGTTTTCTAAATTCACATCGGTCCTAATAATTCTGATTTGTAAAATTCCTATTGCAACTAGTTGTACTAGTTGTGAAATGAGTCTTGAAAGTTTACGAAGTAATGGCTGGTTACGAAATTCTTGGAATTCGCGATATTATTGTTCTGAAATCAACTGTTTATAATCATTGATTTGGGTTTGTCCAAATTTAGTTCATAACCATCATCTCATATCTTGAAACGACGTAAATTTAATCTTTGAAACGAATTCGGAAATATATCAATGAAGAATCAAAGCAATGGATTCAAATGAGTGAAGCTGATGTCAATGCGTTTAGGGACACAAAATTTTTTTTTATTGTCGCCATTGCTTAAAATGGATGATGACTAAGTGGGTTAATTAAGTGCCATAATGAAATTAATTTTATGTTACACTGATCAGCATCCAAACAAAGCATCAAATTAACCAATTTGAAATAAAGTTTCTGTTAATATCCACACGTCATAATTTGAGAGATATTTTTACCTTTATGTAACCGTGAGGAGGAGTCGTTTGAAATCGGATCAAAAAAATCATCAAGTCTATATTCAGAAATATTTTATTTAAATTATTTTATTTAAATAATATTTTGATAAAAATAAGTGAAATTATATTATTTTATCGAGGAAAAGGATTAAGTATTATTTAAAAGTTTAATCGAATTTTACATTTCTTTAAATATAAAGCGGAACATTTAATTAAAAATTGAAGCAACGCTTCTCATTCATTAAGGTATAACGATGCATTTAAAAACAATGTAATGATGAATTTCCGATTTGTTTAATATGCACGAAAGATATGCACACATTAATTTTTTTTTTTTTGTGCACGAAATTGTTTGAGCAAGTGAATCAATAAAAAAGCAAGATTTTTGTTAACATGAAATTGAATTTTTTTTTATGGACTCATTAGGATTTAAGTTTTCTGTTAGAGTTAAACGAGAACATTCTATACGTCACCTGAGTCACGAGATTCATTTCATTATTTATTCAAGACCAAATAAAAGCCAATTGTACTAAATATATAGAAAGTAGATATTTACCTATAATATAAATTCTTTTCTTGAAACGTGTGAATTGAAGCAATAATTTTTTTTTTACATTCATTAAGATATCATTCGATTTAAAAACAGTTATTTAACAATCAACATCACATGCATGATTTTACTGAGTAATTTTTGGACCTTTAAAGTATTTTATTCAATCATAATATAAAAAACAACTATAAAAATCCCTCAAATGTAATCCTTTGAAAAAATAAAAAACCATGTCTGGTAGGTTTATTACAAATAAAAATAAATAAAGCATTACTTATACACTACTTATGAATTTGAACTAAAGAAACTTATGCATATGCTTACAGCTATTGCTAAAGGTACTCTTCCTACGAAAGTAAAAGTACAAGGATGGAATTGCCAAGAACTTCGTGGATTTTTGGTATCTCAAAAGAATATTAAATATATTGAAAAATATGCTAAAATCATCATCGACAATCAAAAAGTCGACGGTTCATCTTTCCTTTTGCTGAACAACGTAACTCTTCGAAGATGGAAGATACCAAATGGTCCAGCTAAATTAATCGAAAACTTGGTCAAGCAAATTCTAGGTAATGACGATGTTTTGGTTGGTTGGCATAATTTCTCTGTGACGTAATTGTTTAGTGTATAAACACTAAAAAAAACCAAGATTTTGTTGTTTATTGCTTAAGAATTTGAACTAATAAAACATATGCATTTATTATAAAGTAGATAATATTCCTAAGAAAGAAGAAGTAGAAAATTGGAATTGGCAAAAACTTCGTAAATTTTTGGAATCGAGGGAAATTCAAGATATTGAAGAATATGCTAAAACCATCGTCGAAAAGTTCGATGCTTCATCCTTCCTTTTGCAGGACGCACAAACTCTTGAAAGTTGGATACCAGGTGGACCAGCTTTAGAAATCGAAAAATTAGTCAAGGACATTCAAGGTAAATGGACTTAATTTTGGTTTGCACATTTAGGACCATTTACCGGGAAGGTATCCGTTCAGTCGAATTTGCTCGATAATGTACTTTATGAGAGAGATATATATTGACAATATAAAACTGCTCGTTATTTACGAAAACTTTCCTAGCTCGTTCTTCCTTCCAAAACAATAATCTTGATAATTTTGGAATAAGTTTAGAAATTGTTAACTCCATTGCTTAAGAATTTGAACTAAAAAAATTATGCATCTTTATACAGTTGCTAAAAAAAGTGCTTTTCCTACGGTCAAAGAAGTATTAGGATGGAAGTCCCAAAAACTACATGAATTTTTGAAATCGAATTGTATTTTTGATAAAGATATTAAAATCATCACCGACAAAGTACAAGAAGATGGTTCATACTTCCTTTTGATGAACTCAAAATCCCTTGGTGAATGGGGAATAGATGATATAACCGCTAGAAAGATCGAAACTTTGATCGAAGAAAATCAAGGTAAGCCATTGTTTCATTCTCTTTGTCGTATTTATTTAATATCATCTCTTTTGTTTATTGTCTCCACCAAGTAGAGCCAAATACTGGGGAGGTATCCATTCTAATCGATCATTCGAATTTGTTCAAGCAAGGTCAAAAAATTATGGAGAAAATTGTTGACAAACCAAATTTGCGCGTTAGTTACGAACGACTCCAATCAGTCATATTAAATGAACGAAACTTGGGTGGCCCTTCAGAAATATTTTACTCTAAATATAATAATAATCTCGATGAATTTGGGGCAAAATATGGAGATCAAGGTTTTAATGTTAACCCCATAGAGCAAAGAACGGACATGAACAAAGAAAAAAAAGTAGATGTATCATTAGTAATACGAGGAATGGAAATCTTAGAAAATAGGTTACCCGGAATCTTGGTTATAGTAACAGGCGATAGTGATTTCCTACCATTAGTAAAAGCTGCCTTTAATAGAGGGTGGAAAGTTGAAACATGGTTCTGGTCAAGAGGTATGAAAATATTGCTGCGTTGAAGTTCTGTTTTTAATTTCATGGATTTTTGTAAATGTAATCTCAACCTTTTAGGTTTAAATATGGAATATAAATCTGATGAATTTAAAAAGAACTATAGTCTCAACTATCTGGATAAACATATTTTATATGCACGTGAACTAAAACTATCACGTGAGCTTAATTATAATATCAAAGATAAAAATGTTAAATTGTTGAAGGATAAAGACCTGTTGCAATTATTCGCTGAATTGAAATTATTTGGATGCTGGCGTTGGATCAATGATGATCATTTATCGATTGCTGTTCATACAAAAAAACAGTATAATGAGGTAAAGCGATGGTGTAATAAGAAGTTTACCGCCTTAGATAACTAGCGAATACGGTTCTACCGATGTTATTTAGTTTATTTGATCTTTCTATTTTATTTTTTTATTTTTATGTTATTTTTATTTTTATTTTTATTTTATTTTTTATTATTTTTATTTTTATTTTTATTTTTTATCTTTATTTTTATTTTTATTTTTATTTTTTTATCTTTATTTTTATAGAATTGTAAAAATTTTTAAAATGTACATAACTTTGATATTTAAAATGTTTACAGCTTTTATAATTATAATAAAGTTTTTGAAATTTAATCGTGATATAATTTTTTTAAAAAAAAGACCCTTAGATTTTATATCACGTGATTATCGTTAAAGTTTTCAATATCTGCAATCACAATTTATTTAATTTCTTTTAGAGGTTGAAACCGGTTTGCAACATAAAACCGGGGTCTATTTTTTTTCAGATTCGAAAACCGGTTTTAATAAAATCGGTTTATTGCGAAAATTCGAATTTAATCAAACCCTAAAATAGACGGTACGGTAAGGTTTAAATTATTTTTATATTAAAAAGAAAATTGATTATTATTTGGATGATCCAATTTTCGCGACTTTTTTTTTTTTAATTTCTCCATTTATTTCATGCAAATTTGTAGAATTATACTTTTTTTGTTAGATCCTTACGAAATCATTCCTTCAAATTTTTATTTTTATTGTGTACTAACAATTTTTTCCTTTGAAGTTTTTGTATTTTTTTGTGAGATTTTTATGAATTAGCAATAATAAAATTAATCGCTATTCGGTTTTTCGGTTTTATTATAACCGAATGCCCGGTTGAATCGGTTTTGATTTAAATTCGGTTTATATTCGGGTTTCAAATTAAAAAAGTGTTTAAACCGGTTTGTGAAAATAAAACCGTTCCCAACCTCTAAATTTCTTGTCCCAAAAATTCTGTGATGATATCCTTAAGACTTAAATATAAAATTGAATGTTACAGAATCATCCATTTTCTCAATTCAGAAAATAGAAGTCACATGTTTCGTTTGATCATCTTTGGAAATAAAAATGGTATTAATACACGTTGAATCAGTAAGAATGCAAGTTTACCGAATACAATAATGGCAAATCATAAGGTCAAATATTACTTTTAAATGACTTGGTCATTTTGACTTAAAATTATAATAAAAATGAATTTGAGGTCATTTCATAAGGTTCTAACATTGCTGATTTGCACGGTTTTATTAAAAATACGTAATAATAAAAAATGTGTTGAATAATCTCGGAAAAAATATGAATTAAAACAATATACCATCTAAATTATTATCAAGAACTTCAATCATCGCATAATTTCAGATATTAATTTCCTCTGGTTGTTCATTTATAATCCTAGAAATGAAAGAATATATTTTTGTCCAGAAAACTTCCTATCGCTACAATCCGTCGCGTGATTTGTTGATCGTGATGTAATTGTGTTATCGATGATGATAAAATTTTCACATTCCCTAATCTCTAACTCTTCCTGTTTAATTTGTTCAATCCATTACTAAATACTTTACCAATGTCTGTCTCTCGCTTCGTTAGGCGTCGAGTACAATGCAAAAAAAATATATTTATATTTATATTTATATTTTTGACGTTACATCTTATTTTTTATTTTTATTTCTTTTCGGAACCAATTATAATCTCTTCATCCATCTACGCTTCCGAAGAGTTTACTGAGTTTACTTCCCCTCCCCTACTACATAGTACGAATAAATTTGTTGTTTCCGACTATTGCTGGAATTTCTAATCACCTTCCCACTATTTGTAGGCTGCCATTGGGTTAGGCGTTATTTCAATTTTATTGGCTATCTTTGGTTTTTTTTTGCACAGGAGATCTCTTTCTCGCTTATTGTCGAAAAAGACGCAATGATAGTCGTCTAATCGAAACTGTAGAAGAAGGCACTCGACCCGTAATTAACGTTTCGGATGATGAATTTTTTCCTCGACCTATAATTGTAAACCACCTCAAAGCTATTTTCCAACCAGCCAAACATCACTCGCGTTATTATACAGTTTATGGTGAACATGGAACCGGTAAGACTACACTGATCAGACTTGCATCAAGAGAAGTTGGTCATGGCGTTGTATACGTCGATGTCCCTCATGTTGTTAATAATTTTGGCAAAGCATTTGGGGAAGCTATCAACTTTGCATTTGAGGAGGATGTCTCTTATAATAAGCAATTGAGACGAAAATTGGGCAATACTGATAGTGAGTTTATTACCGTCACTGCATTTTTATAATATCCAATTGACACTAATTTCTTTCTTGATAGACGAATCTGACGATCCGAAGTGGGTGAGGGCCTTGATAGCTTTTCAACGTGCTGCTGAAGCTTATAAAGTCAAATATGATAGACCTATGGTTATTGTGTATGATAACATTAGTCGATTAGATCCAGAAACCATTCGTATCCTTCAAAATGGTGCCAAAGATAATGCTGATAGCCGAACATACATTGCAGTGTTTGTCAGCAGCGAAGGCTCGGTTCCAAAAATAATGGAAAGTAAGTATTGTCATTATTTTTTCTCTCTAAGAAATAGTGTGACTTATGAGTATAGGGAAAACCGGTACGGTACGGTTCGGCTGATCAGTACGGTACGATTTTGCAGATCAGTACGAATTTTC